AGACGCAGGAAGACGCCGGCCAACGGGTTGTCTGGGTGCACCGGGAGGACGCTGGGCGGCGGCAAGTTTAGGCTACTGGTGCAAGTCTGCGAAATGCTGGCCTGACTCACGTAACGCATGATGGGCGCCCTCAGACGCAACTTTTGGCTCTCCTCGAGTTGCAGGCCCTTTACGTGTTTCAGCTCAGCCTCCTCGATTTTGATGAAAGGGACCCATGCAGCCTGTAGTGACTCCTTATCAGCTTTCTTCTTGAGAATACCTATAAAGAAAGAGGAAGAAAGTGTAGAAATCAGGAGGGAAAAAAATATAATGATACAGGCGGTTCCACTACAGACTGACCATCGCGCAGATAGCAACGGGGCGTGCCGGTTAGTCTACTGCGTGCTGCCGAAACAACAGAAGTGACTACGATAATGCCAACGAAATGATGGAGCAAGAAATAATTTTGCATGAATACTCTTAATGCTCAAAGGCGCCCAGATGAAATAAATGCTGATTTATCACTTCACGCTAGTCGGATTGCCTAACTAAATAACTCGTGAGGTCGATAACCTGAGAATAACTTCCGTTACGCCTGTAGTGACTTTATACAAAAGAAGCTAATAAAAGGACTGCTGTCTGGCTACCTTTCCCATGAAGAATACAAACAAGCGACGGAGTCTGATGTAAAAGTCCTTTATCCGCCTCCCCTCTTTACTTTTCAACTTCTTCTAGTATCTCTGTTGCCTGTATGGCAAATCATACAACATACTTACACTACTCGGTGTTTGTTGGCAATCTGTAAATATTACGCGGTTTTCCAGTTGTGGCCGATGGATTTTGGTTCGAATATTTATATGAACTTTCGGACTGAGTCTTTTAAACATATTAACTCCTCTACTCCACGTTAGTGTTTACTTTCTCATGAGATTGAATAATATAAAATTAAAAACCCGAGTATCTCCCAGAAAGCACACAGGGGAAGCTGCAGAAACTACTGATGGGCCAAACTGTGTTCAACAGAGTCCGAATACTTGCAAAACACGTCTGAGCTTTTAGCTAGTACCCGTTATGTCAGTACTGTACTTGTTAAGGCTACAATCATGCCTGATCTTGCCGGACCCGATGATGTCATGGATTGACCTCTCCACAGGTGGCAACAGCCTCGGACAGTTCAATCCATTCTCTTCGGCAATGAGGCCAACATTTTAACGTCCAAAAACAACTTCCTTGTCTTGACGAACTGTGTCGGCCAGGTTTTGAGCTGCCCCCCCCTTCGATCCCTTAAATTGGGTAGCGGTTCCGAATCGAGGTTATTAACACTGTGTTCGTGAGGTTGACGACGAAGACCGTGTCCAATCCACCTTAGTCGTCTTTATTGAATGACTTGGAATATCCTTGGGATGTTTTTGCCGTGTGTGAACTGTCACATTTGAGACGAAATCGTCGTACTTCATACAAGGAATAGTCCTCAAGCAGTGGTAGTAGAATACCTCCAGCTTTCGTTCATCAGATTGAAACTCAGATGCGCGGTACGCAGGAACTTTCGTGGCGATAAAGATGTTGCGTCGAGTCCTTGGGAATTTCTAAGGCTCAAGAAAATCCGGTGAGAAGCATCGATTTTGGAGACAATGCAATCTTTGCTCTTTTTATTGGGGAACAAACTTGCCCAGAGGCATTTATAAATGTCTACTTTTTCAAATTGACAACCAATAATATCGAAAGGGGCCTTATCTTGGGCAGGAATGCAGCACCTAGGCTCAAGAGCCTAACTACAAGGCAATGGTGGTGAACGAACATATTTAATAGTGGTTCACGGTCACCATGTCGCAGAGCCGTCATCGGATTTTGTGGCTTTTTGTAAGGCTTTTGGCGTGCAGGACCTCAGTCCGCCGCAAACTGGTAGCCCTGCCGCTGTTGGTCTGCGACTGCTTATTTGCCTAACCCGATGGTTTGCTTACTTTGCAGCTAACGTTCATTGAGGACCGTTCCACTATCCGCCGCCTGTGAACGTGCCAGGTAGCTAGCAGCTAGGCTAACGCGTAATCCATCTCCCTTGTGTAACTCACCAGCATTATAACCATGCAACATACGTTATCTATAAATCCATCAAGTGTCGTCTATCAGTAGTTATCACAAGCAGAACAAAAACGAGGTAGTAAAAGTGAATCCGGTCGTACAAGAGGCTTTGCCTACGCTCAGTAGACATGTAACCGCGAACTAATATGAATGCGTCAAAAAGACTGAGCACATTACAATGGGTTAAACTTCTTACCTCCGACGACCTCACCAACAAAGACAAATCGAATCCAATTTGTTTGGCTGGTTTCGACAAGAATCAAACCAGTGGGCTCAAAAATCAGGCCTGATTCTTCCAAGAATTCACGACGAATGGCGGTCTAAAATTAATAAAGGATGCATGTATGACATGAGAATGCAAAATGACAAAGGCGTGGACTACGCCCGATCGCATTTTATTATCATAAAAATGCGAGAGCTTCTCGTAACTTTACTCAATGTCTTAAGATAAAAATTATTCTAGGTTTCTCAATTCATTCAAGACTTAAATTACCACGAGATCTTCGTGACGCTCGACATGACCAGCCGGAAGATACCAGCTGCCGCGACAGGTAGCTTTGGCCTCCTGAATCAGGACAACGCTGCTTCCTGCCAAGGTGATGCCCACCACAACGACGGAGTAATTGGAATTGATAACGGGAACAAACTCTACGAGCAAAATAACATGCAATGGCTAAAGCAAAAAGGATACTTCTTATAGATAGCCACAAAATAGGCTGTGTTACTCGACTTTTGCAAAGACAGGGATAAAAAGTCCCATAAGATTGCTCCCTATTCGTTCACTAACTCCTAATCTTCTGATTCTATAATGCTAGTCAGGATATATATTTATATTGGGTGCCGTTAATGCATAGCCTCAGACTTTTGGAACAAACATATTGGCCGAAAAGGGGCAGCGCAATATTGTTGGGCCAAGTTAGTACACATAACTGTACAGAATTTGACTGGCACCTACACATCTTAAATTTTTCTTTAAAATGATTTCCAATTTGGTGATCGTGACCAAATGTGTAGCTGTAGCCAATCGTAGTAATCGATGAGAGGTCCCTGTAGATAAACTGCAGAATTAAATTTAAAGAGGACACAAATTAACTTAATCGCAAGGAGACAAAAACAAAAATGTACTGGTGTGCCTATGGAGACTGAGGCTAAATGGGGGTGTATAAACCCGATAAAAAAGCATTAAATTGTGGTGTCTATAGAAGATGAAGAAGTAGCATAATACATAAGCGGACAAATTTTCGGCTATGACAGCAGAGTACCTACATAGATCATTACCAAACCGGTTGTCCGGGTGAAGGCTCGATTTGGAAGGAGTATAATTCCTACGACCTAGTATACATTCGGACGATAAAGTCTGCTGTTTGATACGATCCCATCAGCAATAATAGTATGGAAAATCAGTGACACCTCTTACAGGATAGACAGAACACAATACAAAGCACAAGTTTTCTTATTTCATATTTGCTTGAGCACAGGAACATAATGTTTGCAGAAATTGGTCCAGGACGGAAAATTGACAGTAAAAAATGAACGAAAAAACAAATTGGCTATAGAGGAAACGTTTTGGCCGACAGAGATCGGGACACATCCACGTTCAACCTGCTGGCGTACTAGGCTGGGCATATTGCTATCGGGAAGGCATAAGTTATAAAGAGCACAGCAGTCGGAAAAGGAGTTACCAACCGCAGAAATGTCACGCGACATCAAGAAATGGGGGAGAAAAAAACGAGAGACAAACGAAGAAGTAATTAGCTAGTACAATAAAGAGGGAGGTTTGCTGCGGTAACACACGCACG